AAAAATTTTAGGATTATTTGTTCTAGCTCTGTGAAAAATGCTGGTTTGATAGGGATTGCACTGAATATGTAGATTGCTTTGGGTAGTATTGACATTTTAACAATATTTGTTCTTCCTATGCAGGAGCATGGAATCTTTTTCCATTTTTTTGTGAGTTCTTCAATTTCATTCATAAGCTTTCTATAGTTTTCAGTGTATAGATTTTTCACCTCTTTGGTTGGATTTATTCCTAGTATTTTATGGGTTTTGGTGCAACTCTAAATGGGATCGATTCCTTGATTTCTCTTTCTATCGCTTCATTGTTGGTGTATACGAATGCAACTGATTTCTGTGCATTGATTTTATAGCCTGCGACTTTGCTGAATTCATGGATCAGTTCTAGTAGGTTTTTGGTGGAATCCTTTGGGTTTTCCATATAGAGTATCATGTCATCTGCGAAGAGTGAAAGTTTGACCTCCTCCTGGCCGACTTGGATGCCTTTTGTGTTTTCTGATTGCAGAGACTAAGACTTCCAATACTATGTTGAATAACAGTGGTGAGAATGGACATCCCTGTCTTGTTCCTGACCTTAGGGGAAAGCTTTTAGTTTTTCCCCATTGAGGATGATATTAGCATTGGGTCATTCATATATGGCTTTTATGATCTCGAGGTATACTCCTTCTATCCCTACTTTCTCGATGGTTTTTATCAAGAAAGGATGCTGTATTTTGTCAAATGTTTTCTCTGCATCTATTGAGAGGATCATATGGTTCTTGTTAAGAGTCTTAAATTTAAGGTGGCACTGATAGTTTGGGAACCAAATTTCTATTACATTTCAGCATCACTAGTGATTTTGAGTAAATGGGATGCAAGTTTTAAAATATTTAGAGGGGCACCTGGGTGGCGCAGTCGGTTAAGCGTCCGACTTCAGCCAGGTCACGATCTCGCGGTCCGTGAGTTCGAGCCCCGCATCAGGCTCTGGGCTGATGGCTCAGAGCCTGGAGCCTGTTTCTGATTCTGTGTCTCCCTCTCTCTCTGCCCCTCCCCCGTTCATGCTCTGTCTCTCTCTGTCCCAAAAATAAATAAACGTTGAAAAAAAAATTTTTTTAAATATTTAGATATGGAACAGCTTAAAAAGGATGCAGTACTCTAGGAAACAGGAATACTATATGGAGAAAAAGCTTAATACACAAATCCAGTTTTACGGATGAAAGCAAAAGTGAAAATTAGGGTCAAAATGTCCACATACAGTATCAGACAAGCGAATGCATCAACACAAATGCAAACACTACTACTGGAATAGAACACATTATCTTTAGGTTAACTTGTCATGTCATGAAGTTTAGATGTACGTAATTTGTTTGAATCCATACCATGAACATTTAACTTAGATTGGTTTATCATTTATAACTGAAATGGCAGAAGTATGGTAAAGAACACATAAATGATACTTTATTCACAGAAACCAGCTATCATTGGCATTTTGGCTCAGGTTATGTTCTCATGGTCTGTGAGATCAAGTCCCATGTTGGGCTCTGCACTGACAAGGTGGAGTCAGCTTGGGAATTTCTCCCTCCCTCTTCAGGCAAAATTATGGCAAATAGATCATGAAAAAATATTGATACATGAAAATTATGAAATCCAGCAAAAAAAACACCCGTATCCTTAAAAATATGTAAAATACCCCAGGGGCACCTGGGTGGTTCAGTCAGTTAAGCGTCCGACTTCGGCTCAGGTCATGATCTCGCTTTGGCTCAGGTCATGATCTCGCGGTGAGTTCGAGCCCCGCGTCGGGCTCTGTGCTGACAGCTCAGAGCCTGGAGCCTGTTTCAGATTCTGTGTCTCCCTCTCTTTGACCCTCCCCCATTCATGCTCTGTCTCTCTCTGTCTCAAAAATAAATAAACGTTAAAAAAATTTTTTTAAATAAAAAAAAAATGTAAAATACCCCAAATCAAGGTATGAAAACTGAAATCAGCACACTTTTTATGCACATCCTCTATATATAAGACCAAAAAAATAATCAAGTATAACATAAACCTTACATACCTTGTTGTATAAATAGCAATTTGAGAACATTATGTTGAAGTCTTCTATACACTCTGAAGCCTTCATATAATATTTATGTTCTAAGCGCTTCTTAATTGTATTTAAATCCATTGGGGTTTTTATAATGGTGTAATAATCCTGTGGTTTTCATGAAAAAATTCTAAATGTTAGTAATAAGAACAAATTCATCACAACTATTGGTACACAAAGAAATTTAAGAAGCTATATACGTGTAACTAGAAAGAGCAATTGATTACCTTTAAAAGGCTATAATCTAGAAAACAAAACCTTTGTGATGAGAAACAAAGCTGACTGCCATGGCATTTTTTTTCAGAGAAAAAAATAAACAACAAATAAGACTAACAAAGACAAGAACATAAGAGTAGAACTATACTGGAAAATAAAAAGTGAAAGGCATGAAGAAAAACCTAGAATTTAGGAAGTATGACAGACCCAGAGTATAATCCCAGTGCCATGGTTTACTACTTAACAAATTACTTAACGGTTCTGTTACCAGATGGCTAAAAATTCCTAACAAAAGACCTAAAATTGAATTCTATGTATGATGCCTCTAAGTCTTATGTATGATGCTTCTAAGACAAGAAGTGTCAAGAGCAACTTCATGGAGAAGGTGACATTCATGACAACCTTGCATCAAAAGGTCAAACGACACATTCAAAAAAAAGTGACACATTCTATAACAAGAAAGCATTAACTATAATTTACTACAAACTGTTAAAATAAGAATTAATGCTTAGAAAAATGAGCTTTGTCATTTAAAAAAAATGCTCATTGGGAAATTCTTCAGTGGTACGGAATAAATTGTCTTTATTAAAGATATTTTATAATATTAAAGACTAGTTTATTTCTTTTAGAGATCTATGGGATTTTTCTTTTATAGTTAACATAATCATAGGACACACTTACAGGCAACTTTAGTTTCACAGCATCGACAGGCTGCTGAAAAGGCCAGGAAAAATTATGCCTCCATAAAGCCTTCAGGACAACTTTTTGTAGATACTGCAGTTGATTTGTCAATCGCCCATTTTTCTTAGTATTTATATATTCTGGTGGTGGAGGGTTAACAATTGCTGTTTGTCGACTTGACAGAGACATTCTTAACTGCGTCAAACACTGATAGTACAATGTTGCCTACAAATACACGTCCTTAAAACACAAATACAAAACTAAGTTACTTTCAAAGCACATTTAATATAGTTTCTATAGGAACTAAAAAGGGTTAAAGAGTGGTATTATATTTTGCAGTACATCATGATTAAGACAAAAAAGCCAAATGATAAATGAATCCATTTTTACACAAATACACACCTTTTTCTATGTAAGTACTAAGAGTTCTTTCATTATGTATGCCTTAGTTTTGGATGATTTAAGGTATTTAAAATTTCACAGTATTTCTTCTGCCTTTCTAAAACACAAACTGAGGTCTTAACAGGAAAAGTCTGTAAGTTCCTGGTAAAAAAGAATTAACAGGAATGTTTATAGTTACTCTACAATTATTAATTCAGTGAAAGAAGAAAGGCAAAATAAAGGATTTTTCTGGCTAATTTAAGTGATTTATTTTTTTTAAGTAGGCTCCATGACCAACGTGGGGCTTGAATTCATAACCCTGAGATCAAGAGTCACATGCTCCAACAGAGTGAACCAGCCAGGCACCCCTAAAGTGTGCCTTTTAAAACCTATTAGAAAGAAATATGACACATATTAAAATGCTAGTCTTTAGTGCATATTACTATATCTAAAGTAAAACTTCGTATTTCAGTAAGACAATATCTAAAATTCCTACACAGCATTACTTTAAGGATAAAAGAGCAAAGGTACTACGAAGTACATCAATGAAACAAAAAGCGAGTTTAAATAAATTGTCCATTTTTTTAGAACAGTGTTAGATTTAGCCAGTGTATTTGTTTGCATTAAAGCAGTGTTAGTTAGGGGCACCTGGGTGGCTCAGTCGGTTGAGCGTCCGACTTCAGCTCAGGTCATGATCTCACAGTTCATGGGTTCGAGCCCCGCATCAGGCTCTGTGCTGACTGCTTGCTCAGAACCTGGAGCCTGCTTTGGGTTCTGTGTCTCCTTCTCTCTCTGCCCCTCCCCCACTCACACTTTGTCTCACTGTTCCTCAAAAATAAATGTAAAAAAAAAAATTAAAGCAGTGTTAGTTCTCAACCACGTATTAATCACTTCTGGATCTTTTTAAAGAAATTATGATAAAATACATAAAATTTACCATTTTAACTATTTTTCAGTGTACAGTTCAGTGGTATTAAGTATATTCATTTTTGAGCAACTAATCTTTAGAACCTTTTCATCTTGCAAAACTGAAACTCTATACCTATTAAATAACTCCTCATTCTCTCTTCACCCCAGCCCCTGGCAACCACCATCCTGTTTCTACGAATTTAACTACTCTAGGTATCTAAGTGGAATCATATAATATTTGTCTTAGTATAATGTCCTCAAGATTAATCTATATTGTAGCATGTCAGAACTTCCTTCATTTTATAAAGTTCAATATTTAATTATCTGTATGTCACATTCTGTGTATCCATTCATTTCCTCAACAGACACTTGGTTAGCTTCCACCTCTTGTTTATTATGAATACTGCTATAAACATGGGTGTATAGTTATCTCTTCAAGACCCTGCCTTCATTTCTTATGGATACACCCCAGAAATGCAGAAGTGAGAACTGCTGGACCACACGGTAATTTTTTTTTTTTTTGAGGAGTCCCATACTGTTTTCCATGGCACCAGCAATATTTTACATTCCCATCAACAGTCTACAGGGTTCCAATTTTCTCCACCTCCTCACAACACTTTTATTTAATTTTATTTTTTTTATTTAAAAAATATATTTTTTTAACGTTTATTTTTGAGACAGAGACAGAGCATGAACGGGGGAGGGGCAGAGAGAGGGAGACACAGAATCGGAAGCAGGCTCCAGGCTCTGAGCCATCAGCCCAGAGCCCGACACGGGGCACGAACGCACGGACCACGAGATCGTGACCTGAACCCAAGTCGGACGCTCAACCGACTGAGCCACCCAGGCGCCCCTAATTTTATTTTTTTAATTACCAGCCATTATAATGGGTGTGAGGTGTTGTGGATCATTTTAAAAATACCAATGACAAATGCCCAGGCCCCTTGGAGACAGGGCTTGCAAATCAGTTTACTCTTTACATATCCCCGGTGCTTGTGATGTATAGCCAGGATTAAGAACCACTACACTGAAGTGAATTAACTTGGAGGCGATTAACAATCTTATAATTTATTTCACTTCATTACACTCTTCTCATGTCATACAAATGTGAACTTTTTAAATTTTTTATTTTTTTTTTAATGTTTTTATTTTTGAGAGAGACAGCATAAGCTGGGGAGGGGCAGAGAGGGAGACACAAAATGTGAAGTAGGCTCCAGGCTCTGAGCTGTCAGCAGAGCATGACACAGGGCTCGAACTTGTGAACCACGAGATCATACCTGAGCTGAAGTCAGAGGCTTAACTGACTTAGCCACCCAGGTGCCCATGGACTACAACCATTAATGTTATTAACAAAGGGGATAGTCTAGTGTTACAACTGAAACTGGTTCTGTTTTGCAATTATTTAAAGTTAACCTATCTTTGGAGTGTCCCAATTACTAGACCCTCTTCTTCACAAAGATAACCACTAAGATAACTTCTTTCCCATAGATTAAATTGTGACTGCTTTTGACCTTTACATAAATGTAGTATTATTTACTATGTATTACACTGCGTATGGCCTTTCATCAATATTATGTTTGAGATTTATCTGTTATTTGTTCGTCTTCATTGCTGTATAGTATATTATGATTGAATTGGACTATACAATCAATCCAACTCATCTTGCAACTTTTGGGTTGCTTACAGTGTCTGACATCTTTGTACATGCTATGAACATGCTTGTGGTGAATATGCACATACATTATTTTGGGTATAAACTCAGAAGTGAAAATGTTGGGTCATAAGTTTTGTATATTCAACTTTAGGAGATACCAGATTTCAAAAATGTACCAATTTATAGGAGCAGCAGTTTGAGAGTCCCACTTATTCCATATCCTTGTTAATATTTAGGGTTAGCAGGGTGCCTGGGTGTCTCAGTTGGTTGAGCCTCTTTGACTCTTGTCATGAGCTCATGGTTTGTGGGTTCCAGCCCGCATCTGGTTCTGCATAAGGAGTGAGGAGCCTGCTTGTCTCCCTCTCTCTGCCCCTCCCCTGTGTGCTCTCTTTCTCAAAAAATAAAAACACAAAAAAAATTGTTTCAATTAAAAAAAAATTATCAGTGCGTTCCATTTTAGCCATTCTGGTGAGCGTATGATGGGATCTCATTGTGATTTTTATATTTCACTGAGGATTCATGATATGAAAAACCTGTTTAATGTCTATTGACCACATGAATATCTTCTTTGTCAATCACCTGCTGAAGTGTCCTACCCATTTTTCTATTCGATTGTCTGCTATTATCTTACTGATTTTTAGTTCTTCATATAGTCTGAATACAAAACCTTTGTTATGTGTGGTCCAAGTATTTCTCCATGCTTTTCCTTCACAACCTTATTTTAAATAGGCATTTTAAAAAAAATTTTTGTTTTACTTATCTTTGAGAAAGACAGAACACAAGTGGGGGAGGCGCAGAGAGAGAGAGGGAGACACAGAATCCAAAGCAGGCTCCAGGCTCCAAGGTGTCAGCACACAGCCCGATTCGGGGCTCGAACTCACATACCGTGAGATCATGACCTGAGCCGAAGTCAGACACTTACCCAACTGAGTCACCCAGGCACCCCATAAATAGGCATTCTTGTCTGCAATGTTAATCCCTCAGCTATTACTGTTTTGCCACTACCTTGTTTATCTACTGGTTTACTATCTGTCTCCCAAACCCTCTCTCCTGCTTTGTTTGTATTGCTATAGGACAGACTGAGGTCTTGTTTGACTAATGCCTAGGACAGAGCCTACAGAGGCTGAATTAAAGTGTTCAGATTCAGTTTTATGTTAGAGATAGAGAAGATGTGACTTTTTATATAGGGAGAAATAGGGGAAGAAATCAAGAATGTTTTACTTTTGGGGCACCTAGGTGGCTTAGTCTGTTAAGCATCCAACTTTACCTCAGGTCATGATCTCATGACTTGGGAATTCAGGCCCTGTGTAGGACTCTGTGGACAGCTCAGAGCCTGGAGCCTGCTTCAGACTGTGTCTCCCTGTCTCTCTGTCCCTCCCCTGCCCATGCTCTGTCTCTCTCTCTCAAAATAAACATTAAATTAAAAAAAATTTTTTTAAAGAATGTTTTAAGTCTCGTTGCTCAGGAATCTGCCTTAAAAAAAAGATGAATGAGGGGCGCCTGGGTGGCGCAGTCGGTTAAGCGTCCGACTTCAGCCAGGTCACGATCTCGCGGTCCGTGAGTTCGAGCCCCGCGTCAGGCTCTGGGCTGATGGCTCAGAGCCTGGAGCCTGTTTCCGATTCTGTGTCTCCCTCTCTCTCTGCCCCTCCCCCGTTCATGCTCTGTCTCTCTCTGTCCCAAAAATAAATAAAAACGTTGGAAAAAAAAAAAAATTTAAAAAAAAAAAAAAAAGATGAATGAGTGACTTAATGAATGCGTATCAGTTAAAAAAATGCCTTTTCCAAACCTGTTCCCCTCATCAAAACCTCAACTCCACTATACCCTTTTGCAAAGGATCTCAGTTTATAAGAGAAACCCTTTATTTAAAAAAAAAATTTAACATTTATTTTTGAAAGACAAAGACAGAGCACTAGTTGGGGAGGGGCCGAGAGAGAGGGAGACAGACAGAATCAGAAGCAGGCTCCAGGCTCTGAGTTATCAGCAGAGCCCGCTGTGGGGCTCGAACCCACAAACCGAACCGTTAGATCATGACCTGAGCCGAAGTTGGATGCTTAACCAACTGAACCACCCTGGTGTCCCGAAGAGACACCCTTTAAAAATTACTTTCCCTTGACTTCTTTTATTTCCTGCTATTTCCTCTTACGTCATAAGTGCCTCCCCTTTTCCATGAAGATCTTTCCCCTTTTCCAGAATCCTATTATTTCATTAATAATTCCTTTATTTCTGCTATTGTAGGTTCCTTTTTTAA